GCAGATGATTTTCTTTTAAGAAATAGGGGAGGAAATATCATTTCTTGCAGTAACAATGGGACAAACCCAGCTCAGGCACTGACTGCTTCCTAACCTCAGGCCTTGGAGGGCAGCTCACAATGTTCAAGTCTGATGTTGCTCCTTTTAGTCAGAGTTATCGAGGGTCAGACAACAAATTATTTAAGTTTCTAGATTATTTCTGAGTGGAAACAGTGTTCTCTGGTTCTATCTCTGTTATTTCCTTTCTAATCGTCAGCACCATCCCTATCTGCTCACTGCTTCCCATGAGTCAATTTTTAAAAAATTACAGACTACATTTTTGCATTTCTGGTGCTGTTTCCTGATTTATTTTGTGTGTGAACTTTGTATTGAACTATAGCACACATACAGAAAAAGTGTGTAAATCATCAGAGTGCACCTCACTGAATTTTCATTAGAGGAATATCCTTTGGAATATATTCCCTGCACCCTGGAAGCCCCTTCCTGGTGCCTCCCCAGCCACTGCCTCCTCTTTGGTTGGGAGCCCCTTTGGGGAAGGCTCATGGCATCCCAGCCTCACTTTGATCCTGTGTCCACCACACACTGTTCCCTGTGTCCTGGAGCCAGGCCCAGCTGTGCACCATGGACCTGGAAGCATGAGAGAGGCTTTGGCCATCTGTACACGGCCAGTGCACATTAAGAGCATGGGGTGGGGACTGAGAGGTCTTTGTGTCCTAGGTACCTGGAGAGACTCAGAACCCACCCCCAGGAAAGATGTGCTGTATCCCTACCACAAAAAAGCCTTTGAAATAAATTGCTCATGTTCTACTTTGAATTCCATGGGAAGAAAAAACAACCCTTCTAACTTGAAATATGTTAGATTCTAAGATTTTGGGTGGTGGTGGGCCCTCTCCCCATTTCTCAGGGTGATTTGGAGGCTGAGTGCGAATGAACTCAGGGCCACGTTCTAAGGCACGTACTCTACCATGGAGCTACTGCTCAGTGCAAGTCTTCTTGTTTCCAGAGAGTACTCTCCTTTTCCTGTTCTTCCCTACTGTGCTGCCTTCTTCCCTCACAGCAACTCCTAGGAGAGATTAAATTAATAATACTTTGTATTAGGTAGTAATAACTTTGTATTAATGTATTGTATTGAGTTATTAATACTTTGCAGAAAATCCCTTGGAATTTTTTTAATGTAGTGGTCAGGTTGACATGAATACATAATGATAATCAGGCTAAGCACAGTGTCTTCTTTCTGTACTTTATATTCAGAGAACCTTTTTGTCGTTTTCCCACGTGGAGCCTGCCTTTGACACTTTGCTCTCTGGCCTCCCACAATTCCCCTTAATTTTAGATTAGTATGAAATACAGTATTTGGATCTTCTGGGGATTCTCCAAAGTCACTCTTAAATAGTTTATGAAATTTAAAAAATGAATAGATAATATACTAAATGTTAAATGTAGCAAGTCCTGCTTGATGTGTGTCAATGTGCAGCTGACTGTTAGCATCATGATAGACATCTGCCTCTTTAACCCAGAAGTGTGATAGAAATGGTGAGCCTTCCAAGTCACAGATTTTGCTGATTGTAAGCCATCAGAATTGAGTCAGAGCTGAAAATAAAAAAAATCAATTGCATTTAGGCCTTCCTATTTATGGGTTCTGTAACTATGGATCAAAAACATTTAAAAAATTGCATCTGTACTGAATATGAACATTTTCCTTAATACTTGTTATACAGTATAACAAATATTTATATAGCATTTGCATTATAGCAAGCATTGTAAGTAATCTAGAGATGATTTAAAGTATACGGGCAAATGTGTGAAGGTTATGTGCACACTTCACCATCACATAAGGGATTTGAGCATCTGCAGATTTTGGCATCTGAGGGGCATCCTGGAACCCATCCCCTGTGTATATGAAGGGATGACTGTAAGTAGCAATAAGGGTGACTTCTTAGTGGTGTTTCTTTAGTTCCTTACCACATATTTCAGTCTGTTGAGAAACACGCTATATTAGCACAAAATAGTACCAAATGGGGAGGGATGGAGGTGGATTAGAGTAGAAGGAGTGGCAATAGATCAGTTTCCATTGATTAATATTTTCAGACAAGAGGTAGAGTGTGGACAAGAGCAGTTTTCCAGTCATTCTCAATGTGTCCTCTTTTGGGTAGAGTTGTTTGTCAAGGGTTCTCGTGGCACTTGGTTTAAAGGGATGAAGAGCAGAGAGCTTAGAAGGCAATGATCTTATCATAGAATGATGTCAGGGAGAACCAGGTTTGGGGTCCCCCTCGCTGTGGCCTCAGACATTGCGTTCCTTCCCAGGTGGTTACCTTAAGGTCCTGAGACCAGTGGGGAAGGCTGTGAGGACAATCAAGCTACCAGAGACTTCCTTCAGAGGGTGGGTTTTGATGGCTTCTTGGGCAAGAATTAGGAGTCTTAAGATACAAAATGCTTTTTAGTGAGACAAGACTCAGAAACTGTGGATTCCAGTTCTGTTTGCATCATGCATACCAGCTATGCAGCTCAGGCAAAGTCCTCTTGGATACTCCGTGCCCATACAGAAAATGAGAGTTCTAAGGACACCTCCCCGACCTGTCTTTAAGGGTTGCAGAAGTCAGTGGCAGAGAATAGGAATGCTGAGTGTTGGAACCCGTGGAAACTGTGTCTGTGGAAGAAACCAAGAAATTGAAACCTATGATTATTTTAAAATTCAATATTTTAAGAAAATGCACCCACTAGCCAGAAAGAGGTGAACTGATACTAGAAGTGAATGCCCAGGAGAGGCAGGCCAGGCTGGGCAGAACACTTGCCCTCCAAGTGGGCTCCTCGTCAGTGCTGGGGTTTGTGGATGGGTGAAGACATGCACACAGAGCTGGGGCAGGTGTCACATCCGAGCAGGAGGTAGGGTCATGTTCAGTGGCATGGAAGGATGAGCTGGGTGTGAGGCCTGGCCTGGTGAGAACTGTCCTGCTGTAGAGCATCTCCTTGCATATTTGACCCAGTCCTGCTGGCTGGAAGCTCTGTGCTATGAGGCTGCTCTTGAAAGTTGCAGAGGGCCCTCTGATGGGCTTCTCATATTCTCACACACACTGCCGTAGGATCTCTCCCACCCTTGGGACCTTCTGCCTTGGACCTTCCTGGTGGTACCCACCCTCACTGTGTTAGCCTTTCTCTGACTTGATTGTCAAACTCAGCCACTCCCTGGCACCAGAGGACTTTCTGGTGAGATGGAAATATTCTGTCTTGCTAGGGCTTTTGTGATAAGAGAGCATGGACATTTGTCACTATGTGTTAATTGGTACATTTGAGATTTGTGCATTTTGCTATATGCCAGTTTGCTTCAATAAAAGAATCATAGGTTAAGCATTTACTTCTAGTGAAGGAGATGCATGCAGAAGTATCTCTGCAAGTAAAAGCAGTTTGGTATGGCCAATTCCTCCCTTTCCTCCTCTCCCCATACCCAGCCATTCCTTTGAGCCTGTTGTCTTTCTGGCATGCATCCTAAAGCATCTCTTCTCACTTCCACTGTCCCATTCTGATCCAGGCCAAGAGCATATTATCTGGATGTTCATTGCCACTCCTGAGACCTATCATCTGCCAGATGTTTGCTGACTAATCTTTCCAAATTATAAATTGGATCACATCATTCACCTATGTGAGGCTCTTCCCTGCATGGATGCTGAAGTCACAGTCATCTGCAGAGTCTACAAGATCCCGTTCACATCCTATCCCCTTTTATGACCTCATTCTCCTGCCAAAGCCACTCCGGGCTACCCCACCCTCCTCCTTGCTTCCTCTTGGACTCCAAGCCTGTCTCACATCTTGTCCTTTGCACCTGATGCCCCCTTCTTTTAGATCCCTCCTCCCTGTGTGCTCAGTGTAAAGCACTTTCTCATTCTGTAGGCCTTCCCTGGTCTCCAGATGGAAACTGTCCCACCTACTCTTAGGTTCTCTATTGCACAGTCCTCTTTTTTTTTTTCGTTCTTTTATCGGTACATTGAAGGTATACAACACAATTACATTTCTCACTGGGAATTGCACCTTTACGTAATGCATCTTGGTTCTTATTTTTTTCCCCATTCCTAGACCTCCCTTCACCCCCTCCACCCTTCCCTATTTACAAAGACTTTATTTCCATTTTTTCCATTTCTCATCATTTTTCCTTTCCCTTCTTTCCTTTCCCCTGCCCCTCCCACTACCCCTACCCCTTTGGACCTTTTCTTCCTATTTTACATTATCGATTATTCATTCTAATCATTGGTACATTTTGGATATACAATATAATGACATTCATCATTGGAAATTTGCACCTTTACATAGTCTCTCTTAGTTCTTATTTTTCACCCTTGCCCAGCCCTCCCTTCAACCCCTCCAGTCCTCCCTATTTAAATATTTTGTTCCTATTTTTCCATTTTCTCATATTAATCCCATTCCCTTCTATCCTTTCCCCTAGCCCTCCCACTTCCTTCCCCTTTGCCCCTTTTCTTCCTATTTCACATTAACTATTATACATTTAGCCCTTATTTACACTTTCAGTTTCTCACACCAGAGAAACTATTCAGTATTTATACATGTGTATCCTATTTATTTCACTTAAGAGTATTGCCTCAATGTGCATCCACTTAGCTATAAATGTCTCTAATTTCTCATTTTTTATGGCTGAGTAGTACTCCATTTTATTAAAAAACCACATTTTCTTTATCCAGTCTCCAGTTGATGGGTATTTGGGCTGTTTCCAAGTTTTACCTAACACAAACTTGCACAGTCCTCTTTATTCCCAGTGCTATGATTGCCATTTGTTAATCTAGTATTATCTCTTTCCTCCCATAGCTTCCCAGGGTCTTGCTGTTGTTCATGTAATTTTCTAATGCCCTAAACAGGGCCTGGTGTGAAGGTGTGGCTGAGCAAGAAAGACGGCAGCTTCCTGTCCCCCCTGCTCCTCTCTCCTCCTGCAGAATCACCCAGCACTGTGGCTCTTGAGGCTGACTTTCCTGCTTTCATTCCTCTGTCCTTTTTAGGCCTGTGCCCACCGATGGAAGAACATCTACTATGAAACAGATCATATCTTACCTCATGGCTTCTGTTACATCATCCCACCCAACCTCCAGGCCAAAGGCAGGACGCTGATCCCTTGCTATGAAGGTGAGTGTGAATTAATTATCCTGCATTTTCCTGTCCACTTCTTGCCTGAAACACTCTCTATCCTCTCCTAATGTACCTTCACCTGAACATTTTTGGCAGCTTCCCACATGCTACTGAGAGGCAGCACTACTTGCCTCTAGATGGGCTATGGTGCTCAAGGCCCAGCTCAGGTAAGAGGCAGATGCAAAGAGGACAGTAGTTCCACATCTAGCCTCACCTTGCCTCATCTCTGTCTAGAGCCTGTAGTGTTTACCAAGGTTTACAAAGCTTCAGTGACCAAAATTCACCAAACTTCCGCCAAGCGACTGAACAGATTCCTTGGTTTTCTTGCACTTCCAGATGCTGTGGGGCCCTGGAAAACTTACTTTCCCTCTCTAGACTTCAGTTTCCTCAACTGAAAGGTTGAGGATTATCCCAGATGATCTTTCCAGCCTTGTTCATCTGCTCATTAGGCTCCCACAGAGATCCTAGCTGCACTGTGGACAGATATCCTAAAGCAGGGGGAAGAGGAGACCCAGGATTCATAAAGTAACAGTGTGACAGAAATTTAGCACAGCCACACATGAAGTCATCTTAAGAGATCTGAGCTCTGACTTTCCCTCCTGTGTGGTCCTAGAACTTGGACAGCTGTGGAAGAGCTCCAGCAATGTAATTTTAAGAGCTCCTCACCAAAGGGTACTTGGGACCTTGCTTATAAATTCAAATGCATAGGTAGTGGAGTCGGTTGAGTCAATTGCTGTTTAGCCCAGTAGAAGTTGAACTCTAGGGATTCAGAGAATGCACTCCTTTTCTTCAGTTTGATAGCTTCTACTCTCAGGTTTTTTGGCTTAGTGCTGGTGAGCTGGAACCTGCTCCCTGTTTATATGCTGGGCTATTTTTTAATCCCTCATAGTTTATTTGTTTGGACAGAAGTCTCACTGGCCTGAGTCCATGTTGTCTTTGGGCTTCCCTGGGATTCCTAGGTTTCAAATTTTGTGGCCATAAAAGAGGGCTCTAAGAAGTGCTGTCTAGGTAATGTACTGTTCCTACCTTGTGGAGGTCCCTCCCTGGCTCTCTGGAAACTCAGGTGGCCCCCAAGAAGGACCTCCCTGCAGAAGGCACAAGCCCTCTCCTGTGAGGGTTAGCCTTCTACAGTATTTTTGTCCTTTTTTTTTTTTTTTTGGTACTGGGGATCGAACCTGGGGCCTTGTGCTTGCACAGCAGGTGGTGAAACCACTGAGCTAAATCCCCGGCCCTGTCTTTCTTTGAGTGGGCTATGTGGAGAAATTGAACTTTGGCCTTGTTTATCTCTATTTTCGTAGTCAGAAGAAAAAATTTCATCTTAAAAATAGTATAATCAGTTGGGGGAAGGATAGTTAGTGGTGCACATATAACATGTCAAGACTGTTCTGAGTGCCAAGCTCACGCTTTCTCTTTCCCCAGGAAGAAAGGGAAAGGCCCATGGAACAACCTGTGGGGAGATCATCAGCCTGGGGAAAGTGAGGAATCCATAGGGACCATGGAGGCAGGGGTTACTGAACCCAAACTCATTATGCAGTAGGACCACCACTTTCATGTTTCAAAAAAAAAATGATGGGTTATGAAATGGGGACCTGTGGCTATCCCTAGTGGCTCCTCTGCGTACCACATAAGCACCAGAAACTAAAAAGCCAGTCCTCTGAAGAGGTATCTGGGATCAAATATCCATGTCCATGTCTCTGTACCCACTGTGGCTCACACTTCTAACTTCTGTAAAGCAATTGTGGGATTAGCAGTAGGTGAATGTTGGTCTGGGGGCTTTACAGGTTCTTTTACTTAATCTTCACGAAACTTTTAGGAAAAAAAATTTTTAACTTGGGTTTGATTATAAGTAGTTGATTTTGGAAGTTATTTCAGAAGACACCCATAGGAATGTGGGGTAGTGAGAAAGAGAAGGGAAGGCAGCGCATGAAGGGTGTACTACCTGGCAAGTTATCACCATGGGTAACTGGGACACAGTTTAGGGCGATGCTGGGGGCCTGCACAGAGCACACACCTCAAGTTACCATGCTGGAGTCTTCATCCACCTGGTGTCCTGTTGGGCCATGTGTGTGGGCTGAGGAAGCCCTCAGGCACAGATGCAGGTGGTGGCAGTTGACCCTCAGACCATGTCACAGTAAGGGAAAGGACTTGGGAGGGGGTAGGGTACCCTGAAGCCAGCTTCTGTGTCCCCATTGTCCTGTTACAGGTGAGGAACCCAAGATTCAGAGCCTAAGTCAGATGCCCACAGTTGCTCAGATAGTATGTGGTAGAGCTGGCTTTTGCATTTTGTATCTGTTTGACTCAGCAAACCATTTATGTTCCCATAGTTAGTAGTAATTTCAGGTAGTTTTGGCTTTTCCAATTAAAATGAGAATTAAATAAGAGCTTTTAAACAACCCTCACAAAATAGGAAAGAATGATGTTGGAACTGTCTTAAAGGCAGAATCACAAGGTGAGGGAAATGTGGCATTTTGCATATCACTACTCTCCAGTCAGGCGGTCTTCCCTTCCTCTGTGCTGGTGGCTCTGATGTGATGTTTGGCAGGAACATGGATGCTTGTGTGACCTGAGGTGATCAACAGGGAGGTGGAGTGGCAGGTTCTGCTCAGGTCTGCCCCATGTGCCCCTCATTCACATTAGAATGCATGAGCTTGGAGCTGGGTCTTGCTGGGCAACATGTTTCCACCCACTCTGCTCAGTGCTTCTGAGCCTGCAGCATGTCCCACAGAGCTTGCTGGTCTCCAGGGAGAAATGTGTGGAGCAGATCTGAACTAAACTACAGCCAGAGCCCACGTGCAGTTGTACCAGTGAGAAATCCACCTTCCTATTGTTTGCTGTGGAGATTTCAGGGTTGTTATGTGGTAATAGCTGACTGATACAGGGCTCACTGTGACTACCCAAATTCCTTGTAGGATGTGGCTGTGGGGTGGGCCCAGGCCTTTCTGCTTGGATAGTTCTTTTATTTCAGGACAGCCATGTGGAATCAGAAAAGAAATTTGCAACATGGTTTTGCCCCATGCAATCTTCCCTCCCTTGGGCATACACACTTGCATATTTTAACTTGTTCTTTGAGCAGTAAGGAGTGGGGGCTTGGTGTGACAAGTATTGGGGTACAAGAGCAGCCCCTTAGGAAACTAGGGGCCTAGACAGCAAGTTTCTGTGTTGTTGGTCGTGTGATAAGAGAGGGGCCGTAGATGCTCAGATTTCTCTAGGTGCCTGCACTGGCAGGGATTGGGGAAGGTGGGAGGAGGCCACAGTGTGAGAGGGCTCTTGCCTGTGCTCTGTTGGCTTTGGAGATCTACACTTCCCTGTTTTGTGGTCTAAGCTAAACTGACTTTGGCTCTTAAAGCAGCCATTATTTTATGTTTATGTGGAAAATCTCAGTAACTCAAGCTCTCTTTCCAGATGGGGATTACATTATAGTTAAATACAGTGGAAGCATTTCAGTTTGACAAGACCTTTAAGATGTCACCTAGGGGAGCCTCTTGTCTGTATTGAGGTCCAAAGGGGTGATACGCTTGCCCAACCAAGCCTGAGTTTTTCTTCTCATTTGATTATTTACATACCACATAGTGGGAAGGCAGATAACATGATGACTGGAATAGACTCGGGACCTGAAATGCCAGAGGTCAGATCCTGGCTCTGCCACTTCTTATTAGCAGTGAAACCTCAGCTAAGTTGTTTGACCTCTCTGTGTCTAACTGACTCAAAGGGGCTGTGAAGAGGATTGACTTAACACTTGTGAGTTCTTATGAAGTGTCTGGCATATGTCTGCTAAGCACACATATGCTAATGTACTATGTACTATACCCTAACTACTATATCCCAAGCAAGTGTTTATTAATCACCATAGAGTCACTGGCTTGTGTCCCAAGAATAGAGTCCACTTAATTTTATTAAGTCTGTAGTAAGCACCAGATAGACAAAACCCAAATGACACAGGCCCAGCTATCAAGAAGGGGAAACAGAAACTGTGTTGTTTGAAAGTGGGAGTGGATGTGGGGAGACAATTCCTGCTGGTGGTGTTCATCTGGGTGCCTTTCTGCAGGAGCTTGAGCTGTTATCTGAGTACAGGGTGGTTAAAGTAGAATTGTTTCATTTTACAGTTGGAAAAAGTGAAACCCACTTTGGCCTCAAGAAGCCACAGAATAAAAAGATGGTGGAAATACACTGTTGATCACAGTGGGCATAGGGCACGGGATGAGGGGACTGCTGGTACTGTATGTGCTTCCGTGTGGTGGTGGACAGACCATGGAAGACTGGCAAGCTTGGAGGAAGCCGGTTCTTCTGGCCCCTCTTTCTGTGGCTCAGGCTAATTGCTTGGTCCTGCAGTGGGAGGGTTACTGCCATGGCTCTGTCACATCCACCTTTGTAGGCTATTGTGAAGAGCTCATGAGGAAACTCAGGCGAAATTCTCGGGAAGACCTTTGGTTGTTCTGTAATTGGGACCTCACTGAGGGCCTCGTGATGGCCAACTGTCCTCTCTTCAGAATGCTGGAGTGTTGGATGAATTGAGGAAACTTTCTAATTCTCTTTCCAAAATATCTAAAACTTAAAAATTTTTTTTCAGTGCTGGGGATTGAACCTGGGTGCTGACACATGCTATATCAAGTACTCTACCACTGAGCCATATCCCCAGAGCCAGGCTTTTTAATTCTTCATATATTGACTTTGGTTTGGCACAAAGACCTTTTTCTCATGGCTTCTCAGGTGCTTCCTGTTTCTAGTTGCAAGGGAGAGGCTCCCACAATATCCTGTTGGAACCAGGAAATGTAGGAGTGGGAAATAAAATGGGTTTAGGACATAAAATAAACTCATGGCACATACCCTTCAGTAAAATAATTTGGTTTATGTTTGTCCCGTATAAGAGCAGCATCCTTGCTCTGATATGTTTGGGTTGATCAGAATGTGTGAGATGATGAGAGTTCAGTGAATAGCTTGGGGAGAAACTCTGTGAATTAGAGTGAGCACTATTATTAGCCAAGCCATGTTATTCTAGG